GGCACCTGATCATAGGTAATTGTCCTGCTCGGGTTCATCTTGGGAGCGTCAAGCCAAAATCTCAGTGATTGTTTGGTTATTCAACGAGGTCGACTTACCAATAGCATAGGATCCATGATGCACCCGCGAAGAATACGCTGACTGGAACAAAAATATGTCTTTTTATCTCTCCGCTCTCGGAGCCGTAGTGATGAATCTGTGACTTTGGAGTACAATCACGGTCCCGCAATGACTCTTCGCGACTAGGGATGTGAAAATTCTTGGCGTGAGGGATTTGATGCGTGCATGGTCCCATACCTGCTGTCAAAAGAGGTCGAAGGTCACATTGACAAAGATGCGGCTGTCCAGCAACGAGTTCCGTTGCCATCTGCACCCTCATCAAGGTGATTGCGCTGACGTGCGAATGTGACATAGAACGCCTGGAAACTTCATCGTAAATCCCACTATCATGGGAGAACTCCTGCTCGGAGGGTGCAAAAATTCACGAGTCAGCTACTAGCATTCAGGTCCCGAGACAGCCGACTCGAATGCCGAAGGGCAGTAAGATGCTACAAGGAGCGTTTTATTACTCACTCCCGCTCAGTGTCCGGTTTGTTGAGGGTGACTGGCAATTTTGGCAAAACTTGAAGTAACATCTTGCTTAGTCACCAGGTACCATAAATGCCGCATCACTACCGCACCACAAAGCATAGATTTCACGACTGTAACTAGTCTATGTTTTGAATCTCCTAAGCTCAGGCAAGGCACTCGATTCTTAAATAAATATTTTATTTCAGAAAACGCAGGATGCATAAGAGCAATCTATGTAAGATCAGGCAAGGAACAACAAGTAAGATAGCGAAATTTGGGAAAGGAGTCTCTAAGACTCGTTCGACCGAAGCAAGGAATGCAGACCCTGAAAACAAAGGAACAAGCATGAGCAGAGTTTCCCAAAGATATAGGCGCTTAACAACGCAGCTAGCGAGTGCTTGGCCCCAAAAGGATAGGAGTGAAGCGGCGGCTCACCAGATGTTTAACGGACAGGCGGAAGCGCATAGCGAGTGAAAGGTTCTAAGATAGGCGTGTCTTGCAGGTATGGCGCCATGATCACAGCATGCTGCCGAAGGTACCCAATGAATGCATCTCCCTTCCAGCGACCAATTGACTTGACCGTCTCGAAGGGGATTCCATGCAAAAGATACTCCAAAGTCCCTCCGATCCGAATTCCGTGGCCCTTGAGTGGTTCCATGCCTAGTCGCGTCGCGACGCGATCTAGGCACCCTAGGAAGGCTGAACGTGTGAGAGGTCGAAGGCTGTTGCGATGCCTCCAGCTGAAGAGGGCAACGGAGGATGAGGGGGAGTTGATGGATAGATGATTGAGCAGAGCATGATGCGGATCAGCCAGGCCGGACTGCCGAGCGAAATAGATGTCTTCGCCCGATGGTGACATTTTGGTCTGGGGCAAGTGCAAGACTGTCACGGAGAGACCATGTCGATCCTCGTCGTGGCGTATGTTTGAAGGTTTGACATGAGTTGAAGGTTCGAAGCATGACAGGGAGCGTACTGTCATTTCCCCGAGTCTCGCGAGACTAAAGAAGGAAGTGAGCAGACACGCATAAACAGCTGCATCAAGAGGAGATGACAGATCAAGCGCGGAGCGAATGCTTTCGAGACATGCGACAGTGAAAGGGTTACATTTGGTCCGTTTTGATGTTGGAGGGGCTAGACGAGCTGCACCTTGTAGTGCAGCGGATACTTGAGCTCCCTGCGCGAGCCAGTCGAGACCATGGAGTAAGTGCCAAGCACGTACTCCATAGAAATAGGTTTCCAACGTCTTCCCTGAGTAGAGTCCCACGCAGTTAGCAATGAAACTTAACAGTAGGATAGGTGAGGCAGGACCACGTTGGTGTTCTGGAATTTGCCGTGCATCGCAGAAGACGTGAAACACCAACAACCCTGATCCGTATGATTCTCGTGTTCCTCCAGCAAGAGAATGTCCTATCACAGTCAGAATTCGATTCAGATCGTCATCAGAAAGTGGGATGGGGTGACCCGCGTGATCCCGCGCGATGCGGCTGGTTGCTGGCAGCCACAGCTTCAACCGATCCCGCGCTAAGCAATGTGGTCTTAATGCGGAGGGGTTAGGAGTAAGCATAGGAGGGTAGGGTCTTGCGCGAAGGTTGCTGGTGGTTGCTTCTGAAGCTGGTCACTGCTGAAGGAAATGAGAAGTGTCACTCTGTCCAACTATCTCTGAAGCGCAGGAGCTCCTCTCCGTAATCCCAGCATTCATACCCGTCATCCACAGTGCTACTACCCGGGAACCGATTCGAGGCCTCAGTTCTGAGAGCGGTGGAGGAGACGTCAATGTCGACGAGATGATGTGTGAGGATGTCAGGGGGAGAGATATGGGTGGAAGTAGGAGGGATGCGGGGGGGAACTTTCCACGAGAGGGGTCATCGGCAGGATTCTGTCCACTCGTAACGTAGGACAGGTGGAATGATGATCCGTCATCTGTGTCGTCCAGCAGCGCAATGATTCTCCTGAAGACCAAGTTGGTTGCCCGATTCCGGCTCTTTCCGTTCTTCCAGCCGTCGACGACACCCCTGTTGTCGCAAAAGGCTCGAAAATGTTTGCAGGAAGAGGAGGTGTTGAGACGGAGCATGCAACGGACGAGCAGCTCGAAGCCCACTGCTTCTGCCCAGCCAATGTCTTTGGGTCCGTCGAGTGTTTGCCACCCCAGTAGCAAGTACCACACCCTCCAAAACCCATGGATAACAACTGCGATTCCGACGCCCGAGCTGGCGTCGGAATAGGCTTGTCCATCGATGATGTGGAGCCGCTGGGAAATTGGGCGATGCAGGGAAGGATTGGCCAGTTGACCGGACCACCAGATGAGGTCTTCGCGAAGGTGCTTGACTGAGTGATGTGGCACGAACGGACGTGCACTGGAGATGCTAAGCATCGCTTCCAAGGATGTGAGGTAAGCTCGACCGGATGGGAGCACCAAACAGGCATGCAAGAGCTTACCATATAATTGCTGAGTTTCGAGAAGTACATGAGTCGAGCGTGAGAGCCAAGTTTCGATGGCAGCCAGGTACTTGAGTCGTTTGAATTTTGCCAAAGAAATGACCAGAAGGGTGAGATTCCACAAGAGGCCGATGAAGAGTGGTTCAAAACCGAAGGGAGTGTCTTTCTTTGGCTCCCAGGGAATGCCAAGAAAAGAGGAGTGTCGATCAATGTCGCAGAAAGCAGAAGAAAAGAGAAGGTCCACGCCGGAACGTTCTGAAACATGTGAAAAATCCAAAATAGGAAATGCACAATCTTCGCTGTAAACATCAAAGGACCCATCATCAAAGGTGTCCCCTTCGAACCACAATCTCCCTCCTGTTTGTCTAATTTTACGTGTAGATAAACTTTCATGTACTGAACGGCAATGATTATTGTAGCCCGCAAGATGACTGCAAGCAATGCGAAAAAAACAAATGGTCATCCACCCACTTGATGAGCGGCCCCAGTCCTGCAGCGCGCAGCAGATCTGCACCAGCATCTGCAACGTAACCATATGCTCCCGCGGAAGGTCCCATGCCAAAGGAGATGCAGGTGTCGATGAAGAAAGAGTCGTCATCCGCGCGAACCACTGCAGCAGGCCATTGAGATGGAAGTAGCGGAATCGTGCGATAAGCTTCGGCCACATCACGGGTGGCACCCTGTGAACCTGGAGGGAGGTGGCGAATGATGGCACAGACGGTATCAAAAGTCCCCCAGGTGCATGGGAAGTCGTCTGAATCGACTCCAGCGTTGATAGAAGGTTGAGCAAAACGAGGGGATGCTGAATGTGGGAATGAAAAGTTTTGAATGACTCTGTACTTTCCCGGTTTTCCTGGCTTGGGTATAATGGACACGGTGTAGAAACAACAATACAATGAGGAACAAAAGAAGCTCCTGACTGTATCTGTAAAAGTTGTAAGGTCGCGCGCTGCCTAGTCTGCGTTACTTGAGAAGCAAGTGCATTCGACCCTATAGGGGAAGTGAGTGCAGCAAGGATCTAGAAGTGTGCGCTTAAGCGAAGCGCGAGAAAGCGCAGGAGCGCGCAAGGTACAAAGGCGCGGGAACGCGCGCGCGTATTAGCGCGAAGCGCGGGAAAGTGCGCGCGCGTATGCGGAAATGAGAAACTAAGCTTAAGTAGTGATATAAAGCAAGATAAGAGATATAAGAGTGCAAAATGTAAAGGAATAGCTTTCTACTATATTCTGCTAAGTAGTAAGTGGGTAGTAACTAGTAAGTGAAAAGTAGGAAAAGTAGGTTCAGTGTAGTATGTACTGCTGGCGCTTATATAGCGCGCCTAAGCACGGTCAAGCGGAGCCGAAGCGCCACCGAGTAGGTATGTAAATATATATATGAGTGAGAATGCATGATAAAAATAAAGGTGGAACTATGCTAATAAAGGAAATGGAAATATACGCACTAGGGAGCTTGGTGGACAGTGGATGGATGCTTCTGGATGGCTGGCGCCATAGGGCGCGCAAGCGCGGGAACGCGCGCGCGCGTATACATCGCGAAGCGCAGGAATGGTGCGCGCATGGCGCGCGTTGCGCGGGAAAGCTGCGCGTCATATAGAGATAGCTGCGGGTAGCGCACAGAGTAATGCTATGAGTTCGTGCTGTATACTCCTTGGTGAAAACTACCATATCACGCCATGAGAGGCATGATTCTCTACAACGGGGGATGTCTGGAATGGGCCAAGAAGCGAAGACAAGTGCGATTTGGTGAAAGGACCAACATAACGACCAGTAAGCAACTCGCGATCAATGATGGTATGAAAGGCAAGCCGATGTTGTTGCAGCGACGGATGGTTAGGAGGTATTTGTGATATAGAGATGAGAGGCAAGTTAAGATCAAACCCCAAGCGGAAGCCCTTTGAAATTTTGGAGTAGCGCTCCAGTAATCCTGCATCACGGAGTGAGTCTTCCCAGGCGACGACGTTATACGGACATATTGGCTGCAAGCGTCTGAGTTTGAGGACACGACTGAGCTCCGTGGGAGAGGGATAAGCAGCCCGAGCACAGATGCTTTTCGTCATGTGATCGCGCAGGGCAACTTTTTCCTTGTTGCCAATCCATGCAAAGTGGCTTGTCGGAACTGCGAATGAGGAGCTGTTTGGCAACGCGTTTGCTGACGGTGGGATAAAAGTTGTCCCACAGACGATCTGCGGGGCACTCGATGAAGGAGTGATTGTGTCGCCCGAGACAAACGGCGCACACGGCTGTGGAGCGATGTCCGTGCGCGCCACTTGAAAAACCCGACGAGGAGCGAGGTGTCTTGTCAAGGCGGGGAGTTTTGTTGCGTGGATTGGAATGATCCGAACGGCTCGAATCAGAGGTGAAACGGTACTCTGAGGAGGCGTTGTCAGAGGAAATCCAACTCCTCTTGGAGCGACTGGAGGCATCGTCGTCCACTGGGTGAGAAGAAGGAATGCCATGTAAACGCTGAAGATGCGAAGATCGTCGCAAAGGATAACGCAAACACGAAGGTAAGGCAGAAGGCATGACCGAAATAGTCCATGGCAAGGCATAAGGCAGGTAGTGACCAAAAGGGAGCATTATTAAAGGCATGGGATGATGAAAATCTATTAGTGTGCATTTCAGGACGAGGATGTTGGTACGAACCTTTAGATCGAATTCACGGTCAGCTCGGTCTCATTCACTGTGATACAGGCGGTCAAACGTCTGAGAAATCTCCGTTTCGTCTAGAATGCTGATATCCCAGGCTCCGGAGGCCAAAGGAATTGCTTGGTGCCATGCACGACGCTGATCCTCCTCGTAAGCGAGGAGAGCTCGTTGCTCTAGAGCGTTGTCGGAGCACCAATAGTTATGTAACATCAGTGCGCCGAAGAAGTTGGCTAACATAACAATACGTGAGTCTTCCCAACCTCGCTGCTCCAACGAGGCAATGAAGCGAGGAATGGCGCGAGAGAAGTCAAGAGGCGCAAGAAGGTGGTCAGCAATAACCCCCGCTGCTGGGCGAGCCACACTTGCGGCAATCCACGAGGTAGAGCCATCCGCAGCCGCTGAGGGTACCATGCTGTCATCGTCGGTGGTAAGGAAGTTCAGACGAGCATCTGCGAGGCCTTTATTGGTCCAGTAATATAGCTCGACGAATTGAGCCTTGTCTAGTTTGCATAACGCAAAGTCCGAAACCAGAAAAGATTCAGCAGCGCGTTTAGGGCGTGGTCGACTAGGAATGGGAATGTGATGGATCCGGTTCTTCTTCCGATCTTCGTCTGCTGTAGTGGCGTCGAGCTGAGCCTGAGCCTCGAGGCGTTGTGCCTCGGCTTCGTCTCGGAGACGCTGTTGTTCTGTGAGTTCCAAAGCTTCAGCATCGAGCTGAAGTTGCCATTTAGCTTTGAGAGTGGCGTTGGTTGCAGTCCAAATGGTGCGTAAGGTGGCCGCAGCTTGAGCATCGTCGCTGGTAGGGCTCAAGAGGGGCGCGCGACTACTTTGAAACTCTGCGGACGCGAAGTCTGGACACTGTTCTGAATTGGGGTCAGCGTGTAACCTGGTCATGATCGTCCGAGGAAGTGAACAGAATTGAAAGGGAATCGAGGATTCAAGAGAGTATTGAAAGGAAAATAGTTGATATGCGAATGTTTTCGCCAAGTATTGTGGTGGGGAAAGGAGAAGGAAGATCTTAATCTTACTTAATTCTTACATAGACGTCGTTGTAGGCACGTGCTCGTTCCTCGTACTTGCCTAAAACATAATATATGGTACATCAAAACAAATTATCAATTGGCTGAAATGTGCTATCTGTGCACATGCGTGCACTATTGTAGTTGCAGAACAGAAGAAAAATTCCAGAGTTGGCCGAAAATATTTTGACTCGACGTCGCTCAGCAGCACTTGTGGTTGAACAACTTCGCACAGATGAAATTGAGGTTTTCAACTTCTCATATATTAGTACGGTAATATACTGAGGTAGTGCACTGCAGATCTAGCCAACGATATATAATGACATTCTTCTACCCAAGACTCGCACGCTAACCCGTCGTACAACATACAGATCCTGGTCACAACCTGTGCTCCAGACTCTCAGCTAGCACGTCGTCTATAATTTGTCTATAAAGTAATCCAGGGTCATGGCGTAAGTCCAAACTCGAATAAGTCCAAGCAACGTTCTCCGTGCTCCCAACCATATCTGGCGGTATGAGGAGCGGCGTGTGCGCGCCACTGAACGGGAATAAAGAACGGTCAAGTAACCGCACCCCCTGCAACGAAGGGAGCTTGGCTCTCTCTTCGTGAGGAATGAGAGTCACAGCTGACTGGTCTCTCCGATCCAAATATCTTCTCCAAACCCATAAGTCTACCCATGTCAAGTGTGCATGCGCAGGCATTCGGATTGGAACATATGTGTCCGTGGCGAGGTGGCGTAAATTTGGACACATGGACAGTAATGGAATCACTGGTGAGGGAGAGGGAGGGGGAAAATGGTTGTACTGAAAAGCATGGTAACAGTCGCTAACCAACGAGACAAAATGGATACTGTGTCCAAATTTACGCAACAGTGGCTCAAACACCGTACTATGAGGAACTTTTGTTGTCAAAAGGAGACGTCGAAGAGAGGGGAGGCTGAGGATCTCAGCCAGTGCAAAAAAGGCGTTCCTGACATTTCCCCGTGGGGAGAAAGTAACGTGCAGCTCTTCCAAAAAGGCAAGATGTATGTGCCCGGTGGGGAGTGCATCGGTTTCTGCGACGAACATATCGATATGGAAAGTGGTGAGGCACGTGAAAGTTGGCAGGAGCTTCAGGGTGTTTATTAGCGTGGGATTGATGCTGAAGTGCATATCTGTGGTGCGAGAGGGGGTGTTCTGCGCGAGAGCGACCATGCGGAGAAACTCATGACCAAACCAAGGGCGGCGTCTGTTCAAGATGGGTGCAATGGTAACTTTGGTACGATTTGGAGTCACCGCTAAGATGCCGTCCAGAGCCATTGAGACTGCAGCCATCCGCGACTCTAAAACATAACACTGCAGGCGCAGAGATAGTATGAACTCGCCGAGGCTGCGGCTGTTCGAGACGACACGTGCAAGCGTGAAGAGTTGCTTGCTCTGTAGAATGACAACATGGCGATAGAGGTAGCTAATGCCGACATTATACCAGTGCCTGGATACTAGTACAATGTTCCTGAGAGTCTGCAGTGAAAAAACCCGCGAGTGACGATTGTCGCGAGCAATGACAGGGGAATCTAGGAAATGCTGAGTCGGTGGCATAACAAGCTCCATAATAATGCAGAGGATTTCAACCGGAATTTCGGTTGTAATAGGCGTCGGTGACATAACTTGATGTATCTGAGCAGACGATGAGCGATGATAGTAAGAAAGATCAGAAAACTACCTTTGTGCAGTTCGCATCTATGTCTGATACCTGATCATAGGTAATGATGTTGCTGGGGTTCGCCTTGAAAGCGTCAAGCCAAAATCTCAGTGATCGTTTAGTTGTTATCCAACGAGGTTGACTTACCAATGGTGTAGGATCCATGATTCACCCGCGAAGTGATACACTGACTGGAACAAAAATACGTCCTTTTATCTCTCCATTTTCGTGGTCGTAGTAGTGAATCTGTAATTTTGGAATATAATCGCGGTCCCGCATTGGATGACTCTTCGTAACTAGGCATGTGAAAATTCGAAACTTGGCATGGCATGATCCCATACCTCACCCGGCAAGCTGTCAAAGGACGTCAAAGGTCACACAATAAAGTAAATATTGACAAGGATGTTGTCCAGTAACAAGTCTTGCCGCACCTCGGCACCCTTGTCAAACTGATTGCGGGGAACATAAAGCGCCTGGAAGGCATCGCAAATACTACTATCATGGGAGAACTGCTACTGGAAGGATGCAAAATTCATGACTCACCTACCAGCGTGCAGCTCCCGAGATAACCGACTGACTCCGCTTGTCCAGTTTGCCGAGGGGGTTACGCTGATGCCTACTGTCAAAAGATTTACCTCTAAAGGATCGTAACTCTCGAACGACTTCGTCACTGCCAATCAGCATCCAATTCCTCAATGCAGTCAGGGAAAATCATCCGCATCATTTGCAACCACTCTGTATCAGGTTCGCACTCCAACCACGTCGCCTTTAATGCATTCCAGGAAATTGGCATCCACCCAACGTACTCCCAATCGATGAAGCAAATCTTCTCCGCCCGATCGCCAATGATTGAGGCCACCCGGAAAAATCAAATTCTCTGGAAGAAGATCTGAATACGACAGGAACTCCGTCGCGCTCGATGAGAGGTCGTAGCAAGGGTTGCAACGTGTCGCGATTCATCGGCCAATCCAGTCCAAACCTCCGCAGCGAGGTCTGAAGAGGATGGAAACATCTAGAGATTTTCCCGAGCCACCCACAGAATGCGTGGATCGTCAAAGGGACCGCCTGAAGCGTTGCAGATCGCACGAAGCTCGTAAGACCGGGTCTGAAGTCTCATCGAACCTAGTTGGTGGCGCAAATCGTGCGCTAACCTTTCCTTATCCGACGCGGTCAAATCATCCCATACGTCACCCACGCAGTCACCTTCTACCCAAGTAGTGATGAGATAGCTTTGTACTGGCTCGATACGCTGTCGATGTAACGAGGGACGTGGGTATCTCGCAAGGTGGTGGCAAAACGCAGAGCATCCGCTTCGACGTGACTGGATTTTTTTACAACCTTCAAAACGAGTCCAAAGGGGAGACGGAAGATGTCATGGTACATGGGGGTACACATGTTACGATTTCCGATAATAGCATCATATATGGCTGGTTTCCAGCGCGGAGAGTGAGAGAAAGAAATTCTTTGACTAAGTACAACAAAGAAGACAGGGAGAGGTTGCGATTGGAGGGTGATGGAATATCAACATCGTCGTCCGTGGAGAGCCGTACGGGCATGACACCCCAACAAGTATGGGGCAGAGTCCGAGTCACTTCAGGAATGATGAATCGTGGTCATTAGAAGCACATCAGGTCAATGCTCATGCATGCATGTTTATACAGTGCCATATTACTCACGTCTGAGTCACCTTGCTTGCAAGGTCATATGCCATCTGACAAAATCTGACGGACTAACTGCCAATAATAAACAATAATAAATATCAAATAAATATCAATAAACGTTCTATGTCACTGTATGTTGTGACTTCGCCGATCCAGTGTCCAGTTTTTGAACCATGTCGCAACAGCTCAACTCTGCCCTGGAAAAATTAACAATGAAGGAGATTATAGTTGCAGTAGGTGACAATAACTTGAAAAGAGCTGAAAAACGCAAGCGCAGTGACTTAGTGGCTGCTGTGCAAGGTTCGACGGACACCCATATACCAATCATATCAGCAGCGAGCAACAAAGCAGCGCAATCTCACGATGCGCATCTATCTTTGCATGCGCCGTTTGAAAATGCGCTAAATCAGCTCACTGTCAATGAAATTATCTCTGCTGTTCAAGAATTCAAACTTTCACGCCTGGAGAAACGAAACCGAAACAGTCTATTGTCATCTATTCGACATTCTGTACTTCTTCAATCCGCAGTGGTGTCAGCTGCAGATGCAAAAGCTGCACGCTTACAAGATGATGAAGAACACCAGTTGAAAAAGGTGCGGTTGCAACAAGAACGGCAAACGTCTGCCGAACCATTATTCCTGGAGGAGGTGGGAGACTCTGTGTGGAATGAATGTCTATTGCGGTTCATCGATCGTACTGGAAATGCAGCCTGTCGGGCTACTATATGTGTTGTTTGCGCAGGCGAGTTTTTAGCATCTGAGACAACCGAATTTGTGTTGCCTTCGATCCAGCACAAAGAGGTACTGAAGCCATATATCTCGCATCACAGTCAACGACTCGTGAATGGCATGTTGCTATACAATCCAGCCATCACGATTCGAGATGATTGTCCATATGGATTTCTCTGCGATAATTGCTGGGACGATATCAAATCTAACAAAACTCCTTTGTTTTCCCTCGCTAATAATCTTTGGATCGGAGAAGTTCCGGATGAACTTGGGATGTTGACTCTTCCGGAGCGTATCTTAGTGGCCTTATCATATCCTGCAGCATACATCGTCAAGCTTTTTCCGAAAAAACGTGGCGCTGTTCATTGGGATGCAGCAGGTCTAAACAGCGGCTTGCGTGGAAATGTATCTACATACCGACTCAACACATCGTCCATTGCAGCTATGATTGAAGGCAAATTGCTGCCGCCTAAACCATCTATCTTGGCGACAACTATTGGCATTTCCATCGTCGGTCCCAATAACTTTCCGGAACGTTGCTTACCGCCTTTCTTATCTGTGAGCCGCTCTCATCTGCGCAATGCGCTGCTCTTCCTTAAGCGAGAAAATCCGTTGTATTCCAACATCACGATCTCGGAAGACAACATCGCACTATATCCTACACATGGCATTCCGGATGTCATCATGTCCTCAATTCGACACCTCCAAGACACTGCTGCTGTGGATAGCGAACGAGAGGATTATGTACCAGAAGATGATGTCCAGGATGTATTCGCCGGTTCGTCTTTTCTTTTGAGATTCTACTTGCTCCTCTCAACGATAACATTTCGTCGACAGAACATGACAAAGCTTTTCCAAGTGGACAGCATGTCGACGAAGACTTGATCGTTGATGAAAAT